CGGTGCTGTGGGGCTTAACCTACCTTGATCTCCTGCACTAAGGAGCTTGTGCCTCATGCCTGCCCAGTCCGTGCTCGGCCTTGTTTGCAAAGCTTCTAAAGCCGCCCGTGGACACCAAACAGCAGGGAGAACTCAGACCTGATCCAAAGCCCATTGAAGCGAAGGTACTGACTCCTGGCGCCCTGCCTCAACCACTGAACGCAGCCCACGCCCAGGGCTGGGGAGAGAACCCAGGAGTCCTGCACCCACCCCCATTCCTCACTCTAACCCCTACACCACACTCTCTCCTGATGCCTTGAACTGAACCCAATAGTCCTGATTCCCAGTCCCTTGCGCCAAGCAGTGGAACACACGCCCCCCCCCCCCCAGAGCTAGGCATAGAACCCAGGAGTCCTGACTCCCAGTCCCCCGCTCCAGCCACTAGACCCCACTCTGTCCTGTCGTCTTGAAGGGAACCCTGGAGTCCCGACTCCCAGACTGGCTCCCGCGATCCGACCGCTACCAAACAAACCTTACACAGAGCAGGGACGAGGCCCCAGGAGTCCTGACTCCCAGTCGCCTGGTAGACCTCACAACTCAGCCTTTCTCCTGCAGCTTTTCTCTGCCTGGAGCTCGTTCCCACGCTGGGCAGTCAGAGAAAGGAGCCACTGAACCAGCTGTGGAGAACCGCCTCCTCTCTCAGCCCTTGTTTGAAAAACCCTTACCCAGCCACGTCTTTTGGCTGCTGATCTCCCTAGAAAAGCTGAACTGCAACGTGCATATAACTCAACAGCTGCAGCTCACATGGGTTTGGATTCACAGTGAATTCAAGTCAGAAAGCTGGGCTCTGGGGCTGCATTTCCCACATTCCTGGGGGCTGGGAGGGTGTTCGGAGCCAGGTTCATGACCTGCCCCATCTGTGGAGGGAGCAGCAGGCCTGCAAGTGCAGATCCAGATCCAGATGCCAGCTCCAGGGTGGTTTGGATCTGGAGTCAGGTCCTGGTTGAAGGGGGCATGTGACCGCTGAGGGGCTGCCGGGCCAACTGATTAGCCAGTGGGCATGGGAGCTTTCATGCAGGGCAGTGAAATGTTAAGTGAGGCAGCTGCCCTGCAGTTAACTTGCCAAGCAGTCGAGTGTGCTGTTGGAGTGACCCTATGTACTGACCCCTTTCAGAGTAATGCGAGGGCAAAGCAAGCCTCAATGAGCAGCTTTGTAACGCTGCGGGGGTGAGGAAAGGGTACTTGTGTAAGTTTGTTAAGGCGCAATCAGGAGTATCTGCAAAATCCAATCAGGTGCAGGACTCCTGAGTTCTGTTCTTAACTCTGGGAAACAAAAGGCTGTGACTAGCAGTTAGAGCTGGAGTGTGGTGGGCACTGGGAGTCAGGACTCCTGGGTTCTCATCTCACCGCTGGAAGGCAGGATTGACTAGTGGTTAGAGTGAGGCGGGGCCAGACACCTCAGCCAAATTGTAGAGGTTACCAGGCCAGTCACTGTGGTTTTTATAGCGGCAGCAGCCAGTCTAAAACTCAGGCTTTTTGCATGTGAGCTAAAGTAGAATCCTCACTAGCTAGTAGCAGTATAAAGCTTATGACACACAGTCAAACAGTTCTAATTCCATCCAACAGAAGGCAGGCAGTCTCTCTCTTTCTCTCTCTCTTCCACATGTAGCTGGCTCACTATACAACCTGTCAATTGAATGATTCTGGCAAACATGGGGCAGGGGAAAGAAATTGCTGTTTACCAATTCTCCCCCAACTCAGATGCCTGTAACTTTGGCTTAAAACTCAGGGCAGCTTCAGACTCTGGCGCTGTTAGCTTGTGGTCAGGGGCCACTGCTGAACAGTAAATGCCCGGCGTGACTGAAGTCTGCTAATCCGCTTTATTTAGACCCACTTGTAATCTCCAAGCACCCCGTCGCCCTGTACGCACTGGCATATTTGAGATAAAGCCCTGGTATCTTACCCCTGGCACTTGCACAAGAGGTAGCTTGGGTCCAATCCTTGCCCTGATGAAGTTAACGGGGGTGGGGGGTGGGGAGGGGAAATCCCATTGACTTCAGCGGAAACTCAGCTGAGCAACTCAACGCCTATGGTATCTTATCAGCCCCTCTCAAAGGCGGCCGAAATTCCTGCTGCCCAGGGCTCCCGCAGGAATGGGAGCGTTTCAGAGGAAACACGCTTGGTTTGTTTCGTGGGTTTAAGGGAATTAGTTGCCCAGCTCCCAGAATTCAGCACTTCACCGCCATGGGCCTGCTCTCAACATAAATAGTTTTGGCAGCCTTGCTCGTGTGACAAAAATCACTCCCCTGATGGACCCAGCCACACCAGAGAAAGCCCAAGCTTGTTCCATCTGGGGAACTGATAGAAGCTCTCCCGGCAAAAGAACTCCTCCGCTGGCATAAGCTGCGTTTCCACTGGGAGCTATGCTTACTAGAACAACTATAGCGGCAAACACGGCACTGTAACAGAGGCAAGGGTTTAGACTCCTTTGAAAATCACCCAACATTCAGGTGGCGGGCTGGAGTCCCAATCCGCTACTTGGATGTGTTAAGGAAGGAGAATCAGGAAATGAAATTGATCAGCCTAGTGAAACTGACCGGACTAGATGGCTGGAGGGAAATTACTAAAAATACACCAACAGCTTTCAATAGTGAAGAGTCAACAAGGCTTAAACTCAGCTTTCGGTGTTAGTCGTCCCAGACATTGTGAGTAATACACAGGGTGAAGAATTCTTTTCAGATATACACGTGTATCCACACCGGGCCCTCAACACCTCACAGCGGAAACAGAACCCCCAGTTTGCAGTTGTGGATCTAAGGGCCAAGCTAGATACAGGCCCAGAGCCTCCAAAGGTATTTAGGCACCTGACTCCCATTGAAATCAGGGTCACCCAGGGAATCTGTGGCAGAGCTAGGAATGGAACCCAGGTGTCCTAAGTCCCAGTGCAACACCCTAGCCACTAGACCATCCTTTATTGTTACTTTAAAAGTCCTGGGGTCAAATCCTGACCCCACTGAAGCCAAAACTCCCATTGATTTTAATAGAACCAGGATTTCATCCCGGTTGGGTTCCCTTTTTTGAGGGCGATTCTCATAGCCAGGGAGAGCTCCTGGGGCGACCCAATGTGCAGGCGGGTTTAACAGCTATGAAGATCTTCCCTGGCTGCCACTGGAATTAAAGGACCCATTTTGGGGATCCAGCAAGAGAAGCCAAAGCCTGAGCAGGGCTTTCTATCTTGCTGCTTGGATGATGATGATATCATGTCATCTACGTACTTCCAGGGCCCCCATTCACTATATGTCTCAGCGCCCCTCAGGCATTGATGGATTTCTCCTCCCAGCACTCTGTATCATCAGAATTGTCACCCCCATTGCACTGAGAGGAAACAAGACCAGAAGTGGTGTCTTGTCCCGGGACATGCAAGGGGTCGGTAGCAGAGGCAGGGGCTCCTGGATCACACTATGTTGCCTTAGCCCAAGCATCCTTCTTCCCTCTGGTGATCTCGCAGCCTTTTTACAAAGGAGGATAAAGATTCCTATCATCCCTGGACCACCTCGGGCAAGTTGCCGCCTGTCTCTGTGCCTCAGTTTCCCCATCTGCCAGACAGGGAGAACGATACTGACCCCGACCACATTAGGCTCTAGGGAGGATGAGCAGCTCCGTGAACGCCAAGTACTATTCTTTGCAACTCCGGCACAGAGAACTGAAGATAACGTGGCTGAGGCCGCTGAGGCAGGGCGGGTAACAAAATCCAAGCAGCCGGACATCTGATCTTCTCCTCTGCGCACTGAGACATCCACAGAGCTACCCATGAAACAGAAGTCCCTTTTTCCCCACTCCCTCCTTAGTCATTCATGCAACATCTGTAAATCTGACCGCAAAAAGTCAGAAACGCAAAAAATCCTGGAGTGTGACCGCAACCGGCTCCCCCCGGCCTCATGCTTTGGAAAGCTGCAGGGAACGTTGTTTGTAACTTACACTGCTGTGGTGCAGGCCCTGCTTTCCTTTGGCGCCCTCCCTTCATGACCGCTCCGGCAGCTCGCTGTACAAGGGTAGCCCCAGGACCCGTTTGCACAGCAGCTTCCCAGCACTGTGCCTAGCCAAGCAGATCCCTAAAGGGTTTTAAGGCTGCTTCTTGCCCGGCTCTCCCCCATTCCACCCCAGCCTCGTTAGTGCCGCTGCATTAGCTGGCGAGCAGCTGCCAGCAGAGCACCGCCTGGTACGTCAAACCCGGGCTGCTAAAAGAACCAAACACTTTCGCAACTTCCCAGCGCAAGAAACACTCAAGGGCTTAGACTTGCTGCTGTGAGCCATTCCGGCCTCAAGCGATCCAGTCTCCGACCTCAGAGTCCCGGCCAAGATTGACGGAGCCTCTGACCAGGGGCCCAGAGTGAGGCCATGAGACACCTCTGGACTCATCTCCCCTCTTTGGACCTGCTGTATACAAAAAACAGACAAACCCATGGATCTGTTGCTCCGTCGTCCAGCACCCTGCACTGTCCCGTGCACTGGTGCAAAGCAGGTCTAACCTGCTACTTAACGCATGTTTACAGCAAACCCACACACCCGGCGACAGTAGATACAAATATCAAATACTCTTGCTGGAGGGCTGCAATGGGATGCTACTTTTATTCTTAGAATCCGGAACAATAACACACTGGAAACAAACAGAGCGAGACAAAGCCGGCTTCTCCCTGTGGTCAAGAGGCCTAACTCCCCCAGCTTGGTCTAGACTGGTTCTTTCCAGTCTTACTGCTATTAGATTCCAATGTCACTGCAGAGGCCCCTGGCATAGGGGTGGGGGACCCTTGCATAGGGGGTGTCATGGATCCACAAGACATGCTAGACCTCTGACCTTTATACAGTCTCTCTGGCAATTTATCTCTTCAGTGCTAGGTCCTTAGGCCTCCACTTTTTGCAAGGGGCCCCGCTGACTCCTCCGAGACTGGGTCTCTGGCTTTAGCTTTCCTGTTTCTCACGGTGGCGCCGAAAAATGCATGAACCTCCTGCTGGAAACTTACCTCTCTTGGGAGGCATACACGCAGCCGATGTTTTGCAGGGACACAGCGCAGCCTTTGCAGAATAAGCCAGAACCGGAATACAGTGTGGAGGGTCCCTTAGGATAGATTGGAAAAGCAAAGCAAGCCCATGCTGGCAGCATCGCCTACTTCTCGCCCTCAGCCAGGTTTCCATCGGGGTAGGAGTCTACTTATCCCAGGCAGCTCACTCTCCAAGTTTTGTTTCATGCTGCAGTCACGCAACAGAACAAAATGTTTCTTTCTGTTGTTGTTTTGAAACATCCTTTTGCATCCAAGTTTCCTGTAATTTCCTTAACAATATCCCCAAAAGTTTTAAAACCGAAACAAAATGTTTCAATTTGGTTGAAATGAAATGTTTCAGTCAACCCGCCCCCCCATGAAATTTGTTTGCCAATATTTCGATTTGCTCATAGTTTTGAAATTTTTCATTTTGCGCCCAATCCAGAATGCTGCCTCGTCCGACTTTTGAAATGGCTAACAACCTGAAAAGGCCCAGTTCCGTGTGAAACCCGGGATTTGTTTGTAATCTTGGGAGTTTGCTCAAGTTACTGTAAAATCTTTTTCTAAAATGTACCAGCTAGGAATTTGCTCCCTCTGCCGGCTTTGCAGTTTAAGCTCATGGTACCAAGGCAGAGGTGAAAAAAAACCAGTACTAGTAAAAATTAGTCAAGTCCTTTACTCAGAGGAAGCTGTAAATGAAGTTCAGGATCATTTCTCTGGCTGAAAATGGGACGGAAACGGAGGAATCCATCCCAGGCTAGTCTCCGCAATCTCTTGCAGTCCCTGCTAACCCTGTGATTCTAGGATCCCAGTAATCCTTGTGTCAGAGGAAAGTGAAAGAACTCCCCCTACTGGACAGTTACGGGATAATCTGCCCACAGAGGAAATTTCTTCTTAACTGGTTTCAGAGGAGCAGCCGTGTTAGTCTGTATCCGCAAAAAGAACAGGAGGACTTGTGGCACCTTAGAGACTAACACATTTATTTGAGCATAAGCTTTCGTGAGCTACAGCTCACTGCATCGGATAACCCTAACCCTGCCTGAATATCTCCAAGGAGCTGGGCCTGAGAAATCAGCTCATGGTCCGGAAGAGAAGGGTTCATAGCCTAGCCCTGCTTTCGGTAGGACTTTACGTGAGTAATTAAGTGCCTGCATGCTAGGACACTTTACAGAGAGATTAACGGGGAAAAAAAATCTCAAGATTTTCCCCCCAAAGTGTTTAAAAAGACCCAGCCCCAATGAATCAGGCTAGACAAAGCAGAATGTGACGTACGGAGTCAGACTCAGGCAGGATGAGTGCAGGCAGAGTCAGTATCAGATTGAAAAAAAGATTCATTAAATTGAAAATTGGAGGAAAAAGCCTGCAGGAATTTATTGTAAACAGGAAGCTCAACATTACAGGGTCTGTTACAGGAGAGGGTGGGCGAGGCTCGGTGGCCTGCGATGGGCAGGAGGCCAGACTAGATGATCACCATGGTCCTTTCTGGCCTTAAAGTCTGTGGGTCTAATGTCAGAGTTGTAGCTGGTGTTTTATTAGCAGTACATTGAGGGTGCAAATTCCAGCCTCTTGGCACCAGACGGCCATGTCCCAAGGAAACAGTTTTCTGCCAGGAGTCTATCATCTGCTGGATGTTTTTTTGCTCTGCCTAGGGTGCATGCTGATTTTGGCTTTCAGATCCTAACACCGAGAAGCTGTCAAAGGAGAGCGTGCCAGTGGAAAGACAAAGATGTGTGCTACACATGTCACAGGGAGAAGTGTCCCCTTAGCACGGCAGTCTCCAGGGCTTGCTATCATAGTCACGTATAATACAGTAGATTTTGCTTATTGGCAGCCCCTTGGCTTCCAGCAAGAAGTTGCTATTGTCTGGCAACAAGTGGAAGGCAGGTTTGCAAGACAACAACTGGGGAAGGAGGCACTGAAATGTGCCTTCCCTGGCTGCAGCCTTGCAAACCTGGCTTTGGGCAGGGTGGCAGTGGGGAGGGGGCTGCAGCCTGGGTGCCAGGGCTTTCTATGGGGCATGGGGGGGGGTCTGTGGGGCTGCACCATACCTACCCCTGTACTCTCCGGGGATTGGGGCTCAGCACATCCCAGCTCTTCCTTCCCTGTGTATAGTCCCCGGTGATAGCAGAGAAATTCCCCAGACTCCATTTTTGTGTCCCTAGTTTCCATTTGATATAAGAAGAGTCACTCCACTGATAAGCTCTGGTAACCCCATTAAACGTAGGCTAAAGGTCACATACCAAAAGTCAAGTTGGTGGGAAAAAGAAAGTGGTAAACAACGACTGACAGATCACAACACCGTGGGGTAAATAACGGTTGCAGGACAGGTTTCAGCAGCCGTGTTAGTCTGTATCCACAAAAAGAACAGGAGGGCTTGTGGCCCCTTAGAGACTAACCCATTTATTTGCGCATAAGCTTTCGTGAGCTACAGCTCACTTCATTGGACAGTAGCAGAAGTGATTAGAAAGTTCTGACAGGGCAGTAGAAAGGGCAGGGTGTCAGCGGGCAGCTGATAGTCAAGGAGGGAGATGCAGGGACCTAAGGCGAAGACAGCTGGAGAGAGAGCAGATAGCTGAGGAGTTTGTGGAGGGTACGCATGGGAGGGGGGTTGGACAATCCCTGGGAGAGGAGCTGTCGGAGAAACAGCAGCACCCGCAGCAACTGTAACGAGCAGCAACAGAGGGAGTCCTGCCAGCAGAGTAAGCCTCTCAGTTACAGTTATAGTAGAGTCAGTCTAAGTGTTTGTGCGTAATTGCGTATGCCTGGGTTAATGAAGATGTAGGTTCTGTGTGTTGATTGTAAAAGGAATTTATGTATGGAAGACAAAGTACAGTTACGAACTGCTGTCAGTGTCTTGTGACAGACTGGCCACCTGTGAGAAGGCACAGCCGCTTGGAATCATTTTAGCTGTATGGTTATTGTGGTTTGGGATGCTCTTGAACTTGGAACCAGGGATCTGTGGGGTAGGGGGATAGATTATTGTTGTATTAGGGGTTGGTGTTTGCACCAGAAAAAGGTGTCTTTGTTTTGGAAAGAAGACTGCCGGTGTCAATCATTTATCGGAAGGCTGTATCCGTGTCTTCTGGGGGTAACACATCCGAGCTGTTCTGGGGAGCCCCTGGCAAGCCCCAGGTATTTCCATAGCCACCCTGGAAACCCATACTTTAGGAAAAACAGACTGGTTAGTAGGTGAGGTATTCTGGGGGGGGTCCCCAAAATCTGTTTTTTAGTTAACACTCGGCAGGGCGCAGCCTGGAGGGTGCAAGGAGAGGTATCGTTCTGCTCCAACTTCCAGGCTGCAGGCCCTGCTCCCCGCTACTGCCCTGCCCACAGCCACCCCTCCCAACCTGCAGCCCCTTAGCTCCTGCACGGTCCCTGTATAGTAGCTTTGCCGGGCGGCAGCCCCAGGGGGAAGCACTGAGCACCAGTGACAGGCGGATTTGCAGGGCTGCCGCCAGGGAAGGCACGTCCCCGCATTTCCTTCCCCAGCCACAGTGCTGCCAACCTGCCCGCAGCCAAGGCCTTTCTTAAAAAACATAAGCTGCTAATAAGCTGCAGGCTGTTGCCCATATCTAAAGCTTGGCTGTTTAAGATGCTAATTGTTTTAGACTGTTTGGGGGATGCCCCTGCCAACCAATCCTGGAAGAGAGAAAGAAGTCTTCAGCTTTTGAGAAGTGGAGTTTGTGGGAGGGTCCTGAAACCTGGTCTACACCTAAAAGTTAGGTCAACCTTCACACCCCTGAGAGATGTAGTTAAAAGCCAACCTAAACCCAGTGTAGACACTGGTACGTCAGTGAAGAATTCTTCTGTTGACCTAGCTTCTGTCACTCGAGGGGATAGATTAACTAGAGTCAGACTTGCTGAGAAACTCGGTGTAATCAGCGTAGCCTGGAAATACCCTGGTCAGGAGGGAGACACACGTGGGTCTCCACCTAAGTTCCCTCTAAGCCGCGTGGCAGGATATCAAGGGCTGCACAGGTGGGGAGAGGCACCTCTCTCCTGGCCCCTGCCCTGGAGCTGCCGCGGCCAGGGAGAGGCGCCTCTCCCCCGGCGCCCTCACACCCCTACACTCTGCCCTAGCCCTGAGCCCCCTCCCGCACCCCAAACTCCTCACCCCCAGCCCCACCCTAGAGCCCTCACCCCACCCCCCGCACCCCAACCCTCTGCCCAGCCCGGAGCCCCCTCCCACACTCCGAACCCTCCTTGGCCCTACCCTCACCACACATCACCTCCATATTGGTGCACATAACAAAATTCATTTCACATATGGATGTAAAAAATTAGGGGGAACATTGGTCTCCACCCGAAACAGGCGATAGCCGAGGAGCCTGGAGCCCAGAGTGGGTGACCCGGCTGGACCACAGGGAAGGAGAATACCAGTGCAGTTGCATTGAACTATGGCAACCAGTGCGCTATCCCACTATCCCCCTCCTCCCCACTTCATGGGGTGATGTCAGAGGTGCCCCTTGCATTACAAACGGCAGCTGAAATAATGAGAGGACACAGGCTGGGTAGGTTCTCTGGTGTATTGATTTTGGAAAACAGAAATATTGCAACATTTCCAATTAACAGTACAAGGCCTTGCCAGATCCACCTACAGCAACCAAACCTTAACAGTGACAAAGCCGGGACGTCCCCTGCGGAACAGAGATCGGCACCCAGCAGAGTGGCTCAAGGTGGGTGACGCTGAAGGGAGGTGGCGGGGCAGAGGACGGGCGCTGTAGTGGGTACAAGCCTTGGCCAGTGGTAGCGGCTCCACGACAATAAGATCAATAGATACGGGGATTGCGGTGGTTTTATTTTAGTGTTGGATTTTAAAAGGCAACACTTTTCCAACACAACATTGACTGGACAACTCTACGCTGCTCTGCTCTGAGCTGCCCTGGGCTCCCCCACCCAGCTATGGTGGAGGAGGGGCATGCGGTGGGCTCAGACAGTGTCACGCAGGAAAACAAAAGCCACTGAGCACAACAGGACAAATGGACTGGATGGATCTTGTTGAGCCGTCTTGATCCATCCCGGGCTCAGACAGGCCTCCAAAACAAATCAGTTAGTGTAATACAGAGTGGAGAGGAGACCTGTCCTCCTGCAAACCATGTGAGCCCCCAATTCCTTAGTGGACTTGGGGTCTGACCCTGCCCCCCAGTGTGCCCCCCCAAACTCCAACTGAAGTCAGCAGAAGGGGTGGGGTGTGGCGCAGGATCATACCTGCGGTGGAGAAGAAGCATCTAGTGTAACCGTGATCACACACAGCCTAGCCTCAGTTGGTGACAGTGAGTTCCGGTAAGGCAACGGGGGTAGGCAGGCTTCACACCAGCTGAGGATCTGGCTCACGTTAACTGAGAATAAACCCCACAACCCAACCTGCTTTGCTCAGCCTCTTGGAAACCTTAAAGGTTGCTCTGGTCAGGGCTGGTGTCGATATCTGGTCCCACGCTTAGAACAAGCACATTCCGAAACTGTCTCTCTTTCCGTCTCCCTGATCGCTCTGCCCTTGGTCTCTGAACTGGATCCTGGGCTATCAAGCTCTCTAAACCGGGCTCCTCGTTCCTCTATCATCTCCCTTTCTGATTAAGCTCACCCAATCAGTATCACCCTTTAAGGCACGACTTGGCTGCCTTTAGAAGAAAAAGAAGTGTAATTGAATAACAGCAGTACAGTACGAAAATTAAACTCATCAGCATCTCCCATGGCTATAGCAGTGCAGCAGCTGGTCGGGGAACAGCAGTTAAGCAGAGGAAATGGGACAAAAGGAGAGCGCTTAAAATAATGCCCCCATGCGATTAAACAGAATGTGAAGCTGACACAGAGCTGTCAGTGAGAATCAGGCCCACTGGGTGAAATGTACCAAGGTCTTTTTTCCGCAGTGCTCGTAAGTTACAGTTCCATCCACTGGAAGGCCCCTTCCCACTGTAAAGAGTGACGTAAAAGGGCCTTAGCGTATATGAGAAACAGGCCTGATGATTCCTCCTCCTAAAGGATTCTGGGCCTGAACCAAAGCTCACGGACATCAGCGTGAGGCCCACTGACTTCAAGTGAGCTTTGTCATCGGGTCTAAGTGCATGGTTCTGAGAGCAACGCGGCCCCTGGGAAACAGCGGTCAGCATTTCAGCTCTGGTGGCTTTACAGCAGCTAGTCTTACATAAGAAGCTTTGGCCAAAAAATACATCTAGAAAGCTATTAAACGACAATCTTTCTTTTTTCTTCCCTTCTCTTTTTTTTGGTAGCCACAATTCTTTCACCTCTTTGGTTTTAGTTTTTAAAAAAATTTAGAAGCTGAAAAAGCTTTTTTTGTTTTATAGAAATAGACTTTTTCTTAAAAAAAAATCAAAGCATCTTTTAGCATTTTTATATATATATCTATATATAAAATTTCTGCTGTAGAAAAAACACAAAAAAACCCTCCTTTGTTTTAAAAAGGGGGGGGGAAATGGTTCTCTAGCCTTGGGCGGGGGTGGGGGGAATAGCATGATATGGCAGGTTGTCAGCAAGGAGAGCACCCTCTGCTGGTTACATGATGCTGCAGTTTTGAGGACCCTGGTGGGAGAAAAGAGAAAATAAATAATTGTTAACGTCTGTTTGCTTCAGTTAAAGGGGAACAGCAGTAGTCATCAAGAAAGTCTATTGCTAAGTACGAATTACTACATGCTGCAGGTCCCTGGCCCCAGTAGTTCCATGAGTTCTGACTTAACAAGTGACTCCTCTCATAGATTTCATTGGTCTGGCTGGAGGAATACCTGCTTCCGCTTCTGGACAGTGACAAAATGCTCGACAGTTGGAACCTTCCACGAGCCAGATTTCAAGGAACAAATCAGGGATCTAACTTTTACGGGTAAGTGGACTTTGCTTTTCAAATCCATCCCTAGCTCAGGAACTCAGCATGTCTCTCATAGCAGTATTGGAATGATCCCATAAGTATGCCCAGAAGAACACATCACCGGACATCGGCATTACCAGGAGGGATGAGCTGGGGTGCGGATAAGAAGCGCAGTTGGGAAAGTAACTCAAATGCTTTCCTGATGGACTGTTTTTTTCTCTAAATGGACACCCTATCCAAAATTCTCAATTACTGAGCAACACACTGGTATTTGGGGGGAGGAACAGCTCAGTGGTTTGAGCATTGGCCTGCTAAACCCAGGGTTGTGAGTTCAATCCTTGAGGGGGCCATTTAGGGATCTAGGGCAAAAACTGGGGATTGATCCTGCTTTGAGCAGGGGGTTGGACTAGGTGACCTCCTGAGGTCCCTTCCAACCCTGATATTCTAGGAATCTTCACTCACGGATATATTTTGCTTTCCGCCACCAACTCTCTGTATAACGTTTTTCATGAGTAATGTACCCGAATGCATAGATGCTAAATATCTAAACTGTATTCTTAAATTCATTCACCTACATTTGCGTTATTGCTGATTATGCACTATATGTACCTTATGACTTTAAAAACAAACTTTGTATTTGTGAATAATCTAAGCACTATACCCAGATGTACACACACAATTCTTTTAACATTAGCTTTAATAAAAGTTTTAAATCGGTTAAAATACTCAGCTCATATTTTAAGATTGTGACCCTTTAGGGCAGGGAATAATCTTTTCGTTTTGAATTTGTACAGCACAGAATACCCTGGGGTCCTGGTCCATGAGCAAGTGTACAGTAATACAAATAATAATGAGTGCCTTTCATCCATATCTCAAAGTGCTCGATGATCATATAAAAATCATTCTCCCCATTCTATAGATGGAGTCTCTAGAACATTAAATAGTTTGAGAATTAGTGGTAGTATATTAGAATAATAATACTGATTAGAACAGTATTAATTTAATTAACTATTAAAATGTTACTACTAATGATCTATAAAGGTGGAGTATTACAATACTCAGATACTAAGTCCTCACATTTAGTTTTGGAGTATTATAAATACTCAATTAGAGCATTAGTAGAAGTAGAATTCATTAGCACTAGAATATTATAAATACAGCAGAACCTCATTTATACGATCTAATGGGGACTGGGGTGAGGTAGGATAATACAAAATGTGGGCTATCTGGAGAATGGGTAAGTGTGAGGCCGTCACAGGAGAGGTCACCTGCTTCTGGACCTGCGAGCGCTGGCTGTTGGTTAACACGGAGAGCTGGACAACCGGGGCTCCACTGTACTCCACCGTTAGAGCATAAGCAGCAACATAGTACAAACACAAGAGTTCAACCCTTGAGGGGGCCATTTAGGGATCTGGGGCAAAAATTGGGGATTGGTCCTGCTTTGAGCAGGGGGTTGGACTAGATGACCTCCTGAGGTCCCTTCCAACCCTGATATTCTATGGTTCTATGACAACACTTCTGAAGCAGATGTCATCCATGGAGGTCAAGGGACTTCACAGAGAGGCATGGCAGAGCTATTGAACCGACTGCACAGCTGGGACACTCAGGCACAGAGCAGCTAAGGGACTTGCCACGGTCATGCAGGGAGACATGGACAGAGCAGGGGACAGGACCCATGAGTTCCCCGTTCCCTGCTTAAGCCACTGATTTTTTTGTTCTTAGCACTAAGGATGGAAGCCTGGTGCCTGGATTCCGACTGAGACGGGGAGGGGACACAGATGCATTTCTATGTACATTTCAGAGGCGGGGAGGACCTAACCACTTGCCCTAAGAGAAGCACCTTCCATCAGAGACGTTCAGCTGAAGGCAGCCTGGAGGGGGCCATGGGTTTAGTCAAGAGAAGGCTGCCAGGAGGGGTGTGCGAAGATGTGGGCAGCTGAGGGTCAGAAGGGAAGCAGCAGCAGCTGCCAGGAGATGGCGAGAGAGGGAAAGAGCCAGGAAAGGAACCGAAACGGGAGATGGAAGCGGGTATAAAGATCCCTCTGTTAGAACGATGACTGAGGGGGAGGGTTCAGGGTTCCTCCCAGGAGCCGGCAGCTGGGTTTCTCACTCAGTTGAGCCAAGCCAGTTGAGTCCTTGGTGCAGGTTTTGCCCCCCTGCTTCGGAGTCCCAGATAATGTGAAACTAGGAGCCACAACTCCCGGCTACTGGCTTCGTGGTGGCGATGCTGCCAGTGGGATCCTCAGTGGCTGGCTCAGGGGGTTGGGAGGCTTTTAACTTGCCAGCCCGGCTAGCAGGCAGCCCTGGAGATCTGAGCCACTGGCCACCTGACTAGCCAGTAAAACAGCCTAGGGGACAAGCCAGAATCAAGAGTGGTGGGGAACTAGGGTCTTAACCCTACGAATAGGGTCCTTATCTTGAATGTTCTAGGTATAATTAACATCGTCATCCTTGTACAAGGTACAAACCATCATGCTTCAAGGCATGAGCCAGTCACTGGCTGCCTGGGTAAGGAAGAAACATCTCCCATAGCCAGGCAATTCCATGGGGGGAGGGAGGGGTCTCTTGTACTTTCCTCGGAAGCCACTGGTCACCCTAGGAGACAAGGCCGCTGGTTTCGATGGACCACTGGCGATTCCCACAGTTAAGGTGCGTCATGGGCCCCTCATGTAAGGGGAGGTCCCTCGGAAGCAGACGGCTCAGAACTCCCATATTCTGAAGGACCCTGGACAGTCTGGTTATGGACAGACGGGCCCATTCGGAGGTAGCGCTGACCTGGATGGCTACAGTTTGGGCTCTGCTGCAGGGGGTGTAGACCTGATTTGGGGCCCCTAAAGGGAGCTGGTGATTTGGATGTAGCCTCATTAGCCAGGGCTCCTTGCTCTGGGGAATATTTCTCTGGATTTGACAAGTTTTCTGTTGCAGACCCAAATACTGCAGCTTCTGCCTGGAGGGCTGTAAGGCTCTCTCTGATGAGTGGGGGTGCAGGATCCTTCCACATTCACCAGCATTGCGCACACACAGCCAGCAAACCTAGATTGGCTAGATTGTCGGGCTCAACGGGTAGTGATCAATGGCTCCATGTCTAGTTGGCAGCCGGTATCAAATGGAGTGCCCCAAGGGTCGGTCCTGGGGCCGGTTTTGTTCAATATCTTCATAAATGATCTGGAGGATGGTGTGGATTGCACTCTCAGCAAATTTGCGGATGATACTAAACTGGGAGGAGTGGTAGATACGCTGGAGGGGAGGGATAGGATACAGAAGGACCTAGACAAATTGGAGGACTGGGCCAAAAGAAATCTGATGAGGTTCAATAAGGATAAGTGCAGGGTCCTGCACTTAGGACGGAAGAACCCAATGCACAGCTACAGACTAGGGACCGAATGGCTAGGCAGCAGTTCTGCGGAAAAGGACCTAGGGGTGACAGTGGACGAGAAGCTGGATATGAGTCAGCAGTGTGCCCTTGTTGCCAAGAAGGCCAATGGCATTTTGGGATGTATAAGTAGGGGCATAGCGAGGAGATCGAGGGACGTGATCGTTCCCCTCTATTCGACATTGGTGAGGCCTCATCTGGAGTACTGTGTCCAGTTTTGGGCCCCACACTTCAAGAAGGATGTGGATAAATTGGAGAGAGTCCAGCGAAGGGCAACAAAAATGATTAGGGGTCTGGAACACATGAGTTATGAGGAGAGGCTGAGGGAGCTGGGATTGTTTAGCCTGCAGAAGAGAAGAATGAGGGGGGATTTGATAGCTGCTTTCAACTACCTGAAAGGGGGTTCCAAAGAGGATGGCTCTAGACTGTTCTCAATGGTATCAGATGACAGAACGAGGAGTAATGGTCTCAAGTTGCAGTGGGGGAGGTTTAGATTGGATATTAGGAAAAACTTTTTCACTAAGAGGGTGGTGAAACACTGGAATGCGTTACCTAGGGAGGTGGTAGAATCTCCTTCCTTAGAGGTTTTTAAGGTCAGGCTTGACAAAGCCCTGGCTGGGATGATTTAACTGGGAATTGGTCCTGCTTCGAGCAGGGGGTTGGACTAGATGACCTTCTGGGGTCCCTTCCAACCCTGATATTCTATGATTCTATGAACCCTGCAGTCCTCACTCCAGAAAGACACTTGTTTGCTTGTGTTGGAGTTTGGCCCAAGTGAGGACCCTGGGACTGGGGGCAGTGGGGCATCGGAACTGGCTGCAAGGGGCCTCTGAAGCTGGTTCACAGCAGCAGAGATGGGATCTGACTCAGAACAGGCACACTCCGGCCTGAGGAGCCACCAGGTGCACAGAAGGGGCCTGAGAGGAGGAGCGCGGGCGCAGCTGGTTTAGCCGTGGGGGAGCTAAATCTGGGTCAGTAAATCCATTTAGACCATTTCACAGTCTGTTCACCTCAGAGATCTTCAGAGAGGAGCCTTCACCAGATCCCCATCCACAAACTACTCGTGTTTGTAGCGGGAGCCGCTAGAGGAGAGAGCTGGATTTTGGCTTATTAAGTGGGGGACCTGTTTGTATTTAGAGCAGCACATGGATCCTGACACAGAACTGGCCCTAACCAGCGGGCAGTGTGAACCGAACTATGACAGGGTTCCACCAGCTGGAATTCCCAGTGGGACCTTCAGATGAGTGAGATCCATTAGCCTGGACACTCGGCTACCTTGGGATTCCCTTGCCCCAGAGAAGATTCCCTTGCCCCTTTCTTCTCATGCACTGACCTGACTGCGTGGGTTGGAGTTACCCAGGATGTAGGACCTGGTCACCAGGTTTTCCCCAAGGCCGCTGCTGCCCCCACCAGTGCCCCCAAGGGAGCGGTAGCTGCGGGTGATGGTGAGGCTGGAGGCGGACGATTCCGAGGACATGGAGCCAGCCGCGACGTTCTGGCCCCCGCTGGCTTTCTCTGCCGGCTGGCCACAGGTGCTGCACACCACAGTGCGGGAGCGCAGGTTGTACTCGCCAGGATCACCTGTGCCACCGCAGTGGGCCTTGAGGGGTGGGAAGAGAAAAAAACGGAGCTTCAGTACTTGATGGAGCTTCCTCCAGGGCCAGAGGCCCCCAAGAAGATCAGAGTGAGGAGCGGAACTGATCCCAGGACCAGATGAATCAGCTCGAGGGTTTAATGAGCGCTCCAAGGAGGCAGAGCCCTAAGGCTATTCTCAAGCTACACCCATCCCACCCGGCTGGAGCCCCATGGCTGTGTAGGAGTCCCCGATAGGAGGCATCGGCCTTTCCTATTTTCAGATGGGCATCAGAGCTGGCCAAGAACCTCTTTGCCGTGGCAGGGCTGGATTGTGCCCGTCCAACACCCAGCCCAGTTTTGTGATCGGTACTTTGGGACATTGGACCCCAGCAGATGTTCTGCCATTGCAGGATGCTCATAAACCATGGAGCCCTGAGTCCATGGTGATGGGTGCATTAGAAGAATCTGAATAAAATAGAATGTGTCGTTTGGAGGAATCTCTACCTGGGGGCTGTGACCTCCCTGCCACTCCCATATTGCTGAACGTGGGGGCAAAGGGTACCGGCTAGATGGTGGTCAGTGTATGATAAATGGTTGAGAACCTCTGGAACGGACAAACTCCTACTGAAGCCAAAGGGAGCAACTCACACCCAGGATGGGCAAATGGGCCCCCAAAATAGCTGGCTGTGGGACATGTGGTGTATTCCTGCAGTCTGGTCTAGACACTGGTGCTACTCCCTCTTGTCATGCACGTACCCGACTCCTGCTAACAGTGATGGGAGCTGGATTTGTGCATCAAGAAGGGAATCGCATCTCTCTTGAGCCAGCAAAGCCCTTTGTATTGGAGGAACAACACCATGGCACTCAAATTTCATGTCAAGAACACCTAAGACGTAATTAAGTGGTGCAGTCCCTGAGCCGACTTAGTCACACTTCGGACCACTCCATATGTAGATCCAGGGTGAGGTGATCCGAGATAGGCCCCAGGATGTAAGATTCTGATCTGGTGAATTTGCAGGGAGGGGAGGGGTAGTTTGGAGTCTGTTCTGGTTTGGCGTCTCAGTGTGAGTCCATCCCCGTGGTAACAGAGCACTAGGGTTTTGAGTCAGACCCACCCAGAGGATACTCAGCAGTGGCGTGATCACACTATGTGAGGACATGGGGCCAGTTTGGAGTCGATCTGTTGCTTCTTTCCTCTCCTTGTCATGCCTGGTTCTTCTGCACCAATAACATGGACAATTCAGTGCTTTGAAGACATCGAGGGCTGTGTCATTAGTGGCTTGCCTATAGTTAGCACCCAACTAACCAGTCCTGTCTATTCCTCAGCCCTGCCTCTGATGGCCAAGCCGGGGATTGGCCTGGGGGGAGAAATTTTTATCCAAGCCCATCCTGAACGGCTAACACCTCCCCTGTCAAGGGTTCAACATGGCCTGGGTGACTCTGCTTTACGGTAGGAAGCTCACTCCTGGAAGGAATTCAGTCCTCAAAACAAACGGGTAATGCCAGCCAGAAGGAGATCCTGGCTCGTTTCTCTGGGGCTGATCAATATTCATCCTGACATGGCTGGTTGGATCCAGAGCAATGAAATATAAAAGCTGATCATGCACGATACAGTCCCAGCTGCACCAATCCAAGCAGCTGAAAGCTGAATCTGACACCATCCCCTAGGTGGAGTTACTGAACCCTAGACCTCCTGTCTGGTACGCGCTGGGGGTGCCTCTGTCTCACGCCCTCTTAGATAAGGGACGTTGTATGGGGGAGAAGAACTGAACACGCTTCTAGTTGGGCACCAGCCCATCCTCTGTTTAATGAAGCCATCCGTCTGTCACCGGCCCCAGATTAGGAAGGACACCTTCAGCTCTGCAGGGAGGAGAGCAAGAGTCCAAGAATGCACCAGGGGGGCTAAAACCACAGCAGCCATCGGGATCCTTGGACGCGTTTCGGCCGTCAGCTGCTACCTGGCAAAGCAGAGGGCATCAGAGCAGCCCTCTCTACAGCTTGGTCCCCACCAAAGCCTGGATCGTTCTCCAGACGAAACCCTGTGTGCTTCAGGCTACGGGCTGGATTTCAGGGCTGATCTTCACGGTTCCAGCCTGGAAGCTTATTCTGCCACTCCTCCATGGGGATGATCAGAGCCCTTTTGTTCGAGATGCTCCAAACGAACCCACATCCCCCATCGTCAGCTCGATCCCTTCATGCAGGTGCTAGGAGTGTCTCCATGTGCAGAGATAATCTCATGCAGTCGATGGAGAGCAGTTTGCTTCCCTGACATTGTGGTTGGTTGTTTTCCAGCCAGGTAAGTCACAGGGCCCTTCCCCCATCACCTCAACTCCCTGCTCCCCTGGGTCTGGTCCTGGAAGGTGCAGGATCAGTGCATCAATCAGCAGGAGGGGGACTTGCCTAAGGTCACCCAGCAGGCCAGCAGCAGAACCAGATCCTGAGTCCCCTACCCACTGGATCCTGCTGCCTGTCCCTGACAGAGCATGATGCTTACATGGTGGTGACGGTGGTGGACGCTGACTTCGTCATCATCATCCTCCTCATCGTCATTGATGATCACCGTGCGCACCAGCTTCCTCATAGCCACCTCCTGGAAGGGAGGGAGGGCAAAATCAGGTTGCAGCTACACCTGCCAATATCCCCCTTAGCTCTATGGCTCAAATGAAAGATCACCCTAGGGACTTCCAGCCCGCAGATGGCAACAACACACGAGGGAGAATCAGATCCAACTCCACTGGCCAATGGGTCACTTTCACCTTCCACCCCTTACCCATCCCTCTCTTGCATCCAGCCCGAGCATGTTGCCTCGAGACCTCTAGCCCCCAGCTGCCACTGTCCCAGCCCCCTGGAGTCTCACCTCTCCACTGGAGTTGATCAGGGCGGTTCGCAGGCTGTCTCCAGAGCCCCAGGAGCTTTGGGCCTTCCACACCATGTCAGTGGGAGGGCTATGGGTGGCACCAGCTCCAGAAGCCCAGATCTAAAAAGGAACACACGAGAGATTGGTAGCACCTCGTGCCAGTGGCATCCGCCTAACCCTAATTCCCCATGTGGGTCTTTGCGCCTGTCCAGCGGCTGCTCCACAAAAGAGGGTAAGAGTCTACTACAGCTGTTAAATACAGGAACTCCTCTGATCGCTCGTTCCAGGTTCAAACCTCCATGCTGGACTGCTGAACCAGGGTGGGGAGCGTCACTGCCCTCTAAACTGCAAGGAACGGAGGCAAGGGAGATGGGCTGAGAAAACCACAGGCAGGATCTGAATCTGCAGTGGTACCACTTCCGTCCCAGATGGCAGGAATCCCACACGAGCTGCTGCCGGGGTGCGATTTCTGCCATCCCAAGCTGATCTCCGGCAATGTCAGCAGTTCCTGCATGCAAAGGGGAGATCTGGCCCCCCTGTCGGAGCTTTGTATCTCAGCTAGAATCAAAGCTGCAATCCCCCATCTGTGCCCAAGGAGGAGCCCTATGGCCACTTTACCGAGGGGCCTGGAGGTGAGATGCGTGTGCACTTAGAGGGGCTGGGTTTGCTCTGCTCTTCAGGAGCGTAGGACCTGCTGCTCTGTCTCCCCGGGGCGACTCCAGGGTGACAAACGCCAATTGAGAACGGCGCCTCAGTCACCCTTCAGTAGCCCCACGCGAGTGCAGTTTGTTACTCACCGTGACCACCTGGCCGGCCTTCAGGGTGAACTTGGGAGGGAAGCGGTAGCTGATGGGGGCCTCGTCTCCATTCTGACGCTTGATCTGCCAGCTCCCCATCGCCTGGTCCTGCATAACAGAAGGCAGAGGCCTTGAGAAACCGACCTTCAAGATTGTTCCAGTTTTGCCTCCCCTTGGCTACAAGTCCTGTGGTTAAGGGACTGAGCTGGGACTCTCCCACAGACCCTCTGACCGTCAGCAAGTCACCTCACCTTCCTTCACCTCAGTTTCCCCATCTGCTTGTATCCCTTTCCCTACCCTTTGTCTGTCTTGTCTATATACACAAAGATTTTTGGGGCAGGGACTGTCTCGCACTCTACATGTACAGCTCCCAGTACAGTGTGGCCTAGTGGATAGCGCACCAAACTGGACTCAGGAAACCTGGGTTCTACTCCCAGCTCTGACACTAGTTTCCTGGGTGAGCTTGGGCAAGTCATGTCCCTGTTCTGTGCCTCAGTTTCCCCATCTGTAAAAGAGGGATAATGACACTGATCTTCTTGTAAAGAGCTTTGAGATCATCTGACGAGATCTACTTTTGTTCTAAAGCACCCCAACGCGATCTGAACTGTTGAAATGCATCCACCTCTGGGGGGGGGGACACAGCATCTATCTAACAACACACAAAACAGAACAACACTCGGTTTACACTAGGAATTGTCTCTACATGTTAAGTCTCACAAAAATCGCAGCACCCTTTGTCTGCACAGTGGGTTTAGGGCCAACCCGAGGGGAAGGACATTCCAAAAACTACGTGGTTTCCCTTCCAGCTATTGACCCATCTTGCCCTTGCTTAGGCATGACCAGCATCGCCACCAGAAAATCTACCTCGTTGGACTTGTTCCTGAGACGGACAAATTTCCCTTCCAAATCAACCTCTTCCACGGCCACACGACCGCTGGTCCTCGCATGTTGGGAGAAGCTCGTCCGGCGCTCCCCGTCCTCCAGCTTCCTCTTCTTGGAGGAGCCTGGTGTGGAGGAGTGGCTCACATGGATCCTGGAGCCCCGCTTCTGGGAGCTGGGACTTGGAGACAGCCTCAGCCTTGGGAGAGAGTGAGAGGGAGTGAGTGCGGGCTGGGCCGCTGCCTGGACCCTTGAGGGCACTGGCTCCGATCCGGGCCCGGTTAGGAGCGCTAGAGGGGACAAGATCTCGTGGCTGCTTGGTGACCTGCAGACAGAGGCCACTACCCCATGGGACGTCCCCTGAAGGACACGTCTCCATCACAAAATCCCTCCCCACAGCTTCCCCCAACCTCTTGGCAGAGACACCAAGGGCCGAACAGCTTGTGGTGGATGAGCAATGGGGCTGGGAGGTCCATCAGCAGGGCGGGGAGCCAAGCGCAGCCAGATGCTGCCTGTTTCCCAGAGAGGGAGTTCAGCCTCTGGGGCTGTCAGTTCCACACACGCCGGGGTGCTTACGATAATCACTGACTGGAGCAGCAGGAACCAGCTGCCCTTCCCAGACCCCCAGCATGGCTGCGGGGATATAGGCGACTGCAGGAAGCTCAACTCAGTCTCCATTCCTGACCAGTCCACCACATCCCGCTCTGAGCCACTGGCCTCCCTATCCACCTGAGCTCCCAGATGTGCCCCCTTCCCTCACCCACGCCCTAAAATCCCCATCCCTGCCTGATCCAGGCTCGGCACCTGACTGTCCCCGCATCTGGGAGGCTCCAATCATGGCGGGTGGGAACAGATTTTGTGACTGGCTCCTGTCTCTGTAACAGGCTGGGCCAGCACCCCTCCCCACATTGGGGCAGGTGCGATTGAGGCAAGTTGCTTGGGTCCATATCCCACCCCCAGTCGGCCCATCACGGCAGCACCAAACCCCTTCACATTAGGGTCAGGTCAACACGACCAGGCCTGTGTTACCAGCCCACCCAAATCAGGCATGTCCTCCATTCACCCAGCCCCAATTGGCACATCCCCCCACCCATCAGACCCACCCCCCACTCCTCCTTGGCCATGCCTCCAGCAAGCTCCTCCCCCACCCCATCAAGGAGCCTTTCTCTGCACCCACCTCTCCTCCTCTCCCTCCAGCAGCTTGCGGTAGGCTTGGATCTCCATGTCCAGGGCCAGCTTGATGTCCAGCAGCTCCTGGTACTCATCCAGCTGATGCTGCATCCTGGCCCGCATGTCCGCCATTTCCCGCTCCTTGTCGGACAGGATGCGTCGGCTGGTCTCCCGCTCCCGGGCCAGCGCGTCCTCCAGGTCCCGCAGCTGCGACTCCTTGGCAGCCAGCTGGGAGCAGAGAGGAGACACGGAGGAAGGGGGTGAGGCAGAGCACAAGCAGCAGAGGGTGCCCCTCGCTACCAGGGCTACTGGCCCCTTAGACACAGACCCCGCTGTCATGCACCTGCTGGGGATGTTTGCCCATGAAGGACTTCCTGAGACACAGCTCTGTTATAGCCAAGTGTGAGCCAGAGGATTGCGGGAGGCTGGGGGTGTTATGCCCAAGTCCCCTCCAAACCTGCCCATCTCTCCCCTTTGCTCCATGCCCCGCAATCATGGCAATGGGGGTGCGAATGCTGCGCCTAGCAGCCAGCCAGCTCCACTCCATCCCATCAGCCCACTGTGGCTAGAGGGCAGCACCTAGCGCTGACTGAAGGGGCGTCTTCATGTACTGAATGGAGCTCGCCCATGACAGGCGCTCAGCTTGGTTCCAGAGCAAAGGCCTGGGGCAGCCGCAAAGGGGAACTAGTGGGAGGAGGGGGCAGATGGCTGGACAATGCTCTCGCTGGCATCTCCTGCTCACCTGCTTCTGCAGCTGGCTGAGCTGGGCCGACAGGCTGTCGATGCGGATCCGCGACTGCTGCAATTCTTCGTGGGCGGCGCCCACCATGCTGCTGTTCCTCTCCGCCGACTGCTTGGCGTTCTCCAGCTGCAACCCACAGGCCAGGCAGGGTTAGCACAGCAGAGGAGCAGCTGCCTACCGACGTCCCACTGTGGTGGGAGCGAACAGCCCCGGGAGAGGCCGGTCACGAGGGACCGCGAGGGCGAGCTATCCATCAGCCCCTCGCAGGAGACAATCGCACTGGCAGCGCTGCTCAATGGGAGCCGCTCGCTGCAGAGGATCAATGGCGGTATCTAGACTAGGGCTTTAAAAACCCCGGCCTCTGGGCCAGCTTCCATCAGAGGCTCTGAACAGGTCCTGCAGGTGCTGATTTAGCTCCACCTTCCCCACCGGGGAGGCTGGTACTAAGTGATCTCTCCATTTTACAGGTGGGAAAAGCAGGGCCGAAAGAGAGGAAAGGGCCCCCAACATTTTCACAAGTGGGCCCCCAATTTTCAGTGCTCACTCCAGTTGTAGCCGTCTCGCCAGCTCAGCCTGATTCCTCATTGATTTCACACGGCGGGGAGGCTACTCCAGGCCTCTCAAAGCCAGGCCCCCGTGTGCTGTGAGCTGAGCTCCTAGAGATCAGAGGCTGAGGGTGAAAATTTGGCTTTAAGTGACTTGCTTAAAGTCACAGAGAGTTGGGGGCAAAGACAGGAATAGAACCCAGGAGTCCTGGCTCCCAGTCCTGAGCCACTGGCCCACCTCACCGCCCTATCCACTCCCTGGCCCTGTGCAGTGTGTTACCTTGGAGCCATAGGTCTTCTCCAGCTCCTCCTTGTACAGTCTGACCTGGGATTCGTGCTGGGCCCGCAGGTCCTGGAGGGCATCAGCCAACTTGCTCTCAAACTCCTGCTGGCGGCCGTTGTCGATCTCCACCAAGCGGGTCTCATGGCGACGCTTGGTCTCGCGAAGTTCCTGGGGGCGGTCACAGCAATAAAGGGCTATGTGAGCCATGGGTCTCAGAGATGGAGCTCGCTGGTACAGGGCAGCAAACAGCCGTTAGCCTCCCTGTTGGGACCCGCATTGGGATCGGGTGGGAGTCACCTGCTCCCTAGGTGGGAGCGGTGCCAAGCCAGGCTCAAGCAAGAATTGCTCCTTGCGCAACGTACATGCCCCAGAATCTGGTGCTTGATCCTCAGGGCTCGTCTACACTTGGGCCACTGTTGTGCTTCAAGTGTAGACTCTACCTGCACTTCTCCTGTCGACACAGATAATCTACCTCCCCAGGAGAATAATTCTTCTATCAACCTAGTGCTGTCTACATGGGGACTTAGATCGGCTTAACTCGCCGCTCAGAGGTGTGGATTGTTCCCCACTGCCCCAAAAGCTAGGTGGGGTTTTGTGAATTCTGCTAAATGGATCCCTTCCTTGTCCTCAGCAGAGCCAACAATGCTAATGCACCTCGCCTTAAGTTCTCTGTTGCTGAGGGCGCTGGCATGACCTGTCCTCATGGGGGAAGAGATAAATCATGGGCCGGTTCAGTGCATAAGTCTGCGCCGAGGGTCTGTATTGGGGAAGGCCTTGCTCAGGGGCAGCCCGACCCCGCTCACCTCGCTGTAAATGTTCTTCTGGAAGTCGAGTTCTTCCTTCAGCGTCTGCAGACGGTTCTCGGCGTCCACCCGACGCAGCATCTCATCCTGCAGCTGCTTCTTCACCTCGCCCAGGGCGGCTTCCAGCTAGGGAGGGGAGAGGGGAAAGTGAGCGCAGCTAGACGGAGATTCGCAGACCCAGCAGGCGGGTCTCAAGTGAGGTCTCTAGCCAGGTGGCTGCTGAGCCTGGGGACTGCAGGCCGGCAAATCTGGAGATTTTACGCAAACTGTGATTGCTCAATTTGCATATTATACATATTCACAACCACAATTTAAATAAACTGCATCAGCGCTAAATCCATCAATTCTCCCCTCCTCCCAATACAGAAATTATGCCTGTCAAATCCATCCCCCCATCCCCCTCAGCCTCCCACCGGTCAGTGGCTCTCCCTATCACAAGACTATGACTGCTGCTCAGGGGCCCAGGAGAAGGCCCTCCAAATTGGGGGTCTCCAGGCCAATTTGGGCAGATTGACAGGGTTGGGCTGGGCATTTCCTACTTTGCCTAGGGCAACAAAAGGGACCATGGCCGGCACTCAGCAGAACTAGCTCATGGCCCAGCTGGATATGTCCCCCGCTGCAACAGGAGCCAGCCAAGGCTCCCGCCTCACCTCTCCCATCAGCGAAGTGATGCCAGAGCTTGCAGGTCAGTGGTAGGAGGGTGACTGCCTCCTTCCCGACTCCCCCAGACACCAATCAATCCCCACGGCTGCACCTCTCTCAGGCGATACTTAGAGGAATGGGTTGCCTGCTCATCCCGCTACCCACCATCCCGCCTGGTGTTGTTGGCTCCCTAGTTCAGACCTAGCTGGGACCATTAACTGGCCAGAGCTGCGGGGTCCCATCCGCTCTGAACCATAAGGGGTATTTCAGCAGGCTTGGCAGGATGTGCATGGGGAATGCCATGATCTCTGGCGCCCCACAGGGCGCCCTGGGGCAGCAAGGGTCAGGAGTCAGGACCAATGTTCCCTCTAATTTTTGACAGGCCGTATGCGCAAAAAAAGTCTTCTGTGCAAATTGTGCTTCTGTGCAAATGTTTGTGTGCGCGGTGTTTCGCCATGTGTGTGGGGTTTAGGATCTGTGTGCGTGCACACACGCACAGCTTAGAGGGAACAGTGGTCAGGACCTGCTGCTCACCTTGGACACTTGTGTCCTCAGCTCCCGGATTTCATTCTCCAGGTTCCTCTTCTCCCCCAGGGCGGTGGTGAGCGCGGCCTCTTTGGAGTTGAGCAGGGCCTCCAGGTCCTTGAGGCGAGCCTGTGCGGCCAGCAGGTCCCCTTCCTTCTTGCCATTCCTGGAACACAGCCAGCAAACTGCTCTTGTGATGTGTTCGGGGAACCCCCTGCCCCATGCAAATGAGGGCCCAATGCTGGAGAGGGGCCCAGAGCACAACTCCCAGATCCAAACACCCCTCCAGCCCCCGGGGACAGCTCAGAACCCGATCCCAATGGTCTTGGTGAATTTCACAACGGTGGAAGATGTCAGACTGACAGCCCTGGTGCTCGGAGACCCATGTAGCCACAGGACAGGTGCAGCCTGCCCAATTCCTGCCCTCTTTCTCCTGATTCATTCAGCTGCCATGTCCCCGACTTGGGATCTGCACAGACAGGATGGGTTTTGCATCAGTGCAGTTAGTGATGCTTCAAAACCAGGGGAAACGACACGGGAGCCAGCCCCATTTCACACCGATACAGCACAACCCCCCCAGCAGCGCTGGGCATAGTTACCCTGCTACAAATACCCCTCTATAGACAGGGTTTGAGGCTCTTTGATCTCCCAGTGAACCCAGCTTCCCATTACACGCATCACAAGGTGATCAGCCGTGAAATCAGCTTCTGCTCCAACCCATGTTACGGGCTGTTTTATTGGCCCTGGCCTGCTGGTGTTTATTGGCTGGTGATTCAGAGCGGCGTGTGGGTGTTTAAAAATTAAACACAGGCTGACGTATGAATTGGCAAGCGGCTCCCTGGGGAATTAAAGCAATGATCCCTTTTACAGCACATCTGACAGAAAACACACACACACACACACACACACCCTGTTAACAGCCTCCAGCTCAGAATGGAAAAGCAAGCACAATATCATTAGTATTTATTATCTGCACTGCAGCAGCATCTAGGCCTCCCAGTCGTGGACCAAGATGGTCCCTGCCTCAAAGGCCCACCAATGTAATCAACCTCCCTCCTCCACGCTACCTACTAAAGAGGTCTTGGAGCCGCAGGAAATTTCAGAAACATTTTACGTTATCAGGGATGGAAAAAGGTGAGTGGGAACTTGGGCCTAAACTTTCTGGTGGCTCGTGATTTTAGGCGCCAGACCTGAGACACTGTGAGAGCGCCAGATTTCCAACAGGACAGTGCTCGGCTCTGTTTGAAAGGGAAACCCCTTTAAAAAGGCAACTCAGGTGGAGCGCTGAAAAATCTGGGTACCCCAAAATCACTAGTTGCTTGTGAAACTTGAGGCCTTAGAGGACGGTTAATAAGGGATTGATTGAGGAGGAAAGACCAAGAGATTTACAGTAGAAGTATTTACAACTCGGCCCTAAGGATCCAGGGGTATTTGAAAGATACATGCACCAAGGAAGGAAAGGGAATTATTCAGGGTGCTCCGAGGAGCGAGGAGATGAAGGAGAATGAAGCTGCAGGCAGATCATCAGGAAACGCCTCCTAGCAAGAAGACAGATTAGTCTTCCACAGGACATTTAAAACCAGACTTAAGTGCTGGGCAAACCACAGCGGTCCTGCTGCGGGTGGTGGATGTGCCGTGTCGGCTTGCACTATATTATGTGCCCACTAGATGTTGCTGTGCATATTATACATATATAATACACGCCCAAGAGGGGCGTGATCCCTGGCATACAACAGGAGACAAAACTGGAACTCAGGCTGCAGGGAAGCCTGTTTAGATCCGTAGGTATTTTGATAAATTTGATAAATTTATTTGATAAATAAATTTGCTTAAGATGGACTTTGACTCCATACAGAACGACAGCATGGGAGAGTTGGACAACTCAACCCCCTAAGCTCTGTGAGGTTAACATCTCCTCCCCCCTGTTGATCGATGAGCAGCTATTTACTATTGTGTGTATTTATGGTAGAGTCTGGAGGCCCCAACTGAGATCATGGGTCCACTGTGGTAGGCACTGAGCCCACACAGTGAGAACGTCTCTGCCCCAGAGAGCTTACAGTCTAAACAAACAAGACAGACCACAGGTGGAGGGGAAGTGCTGAGACTCTAGCGAAAGGAGATGCCTCGGGATGAAGAGCTACCTAAAATAAGGAAATCCAAGTGGTGCGTTCTCATCTTGACCAATGCAAGGTCAATTGGCATCTTGAGCCGGCATGAAGGAGAGGAATGGGACCTCAGAAATATCCCCACTTGGAATCCAAACTGCAGAGACCCTAGCAAGTAGGGTGGCCAACTTTTTCATCCCACAAAACTGAATGCTCTAGCCCCGCCCCTGCCCTGAGGCCACGCCCACCTCTCACTACATTCCCCCTCCCTCCCTGGCTCGCTCTCCCCACCCTCACTCATTTTCACTGGGCTGGGGCAGGGGTGCGGGAGGGGGTGAGGGCTCTAACTGGGGGTGCGGGAGGGGGCTCCGGGCTGGGACAGGGAGTTGGGGTGTGGGAGGGGGTGAGGGCTCTAGCTGGGGGTGTGGGCTCTGGGGTGGGGCTGGGGATGAGGAGTTTGGGGTGCAGGAGGGGGCTCCAGCCTGGGGGGTGGGGCCGAGGGATTCGGAGTGAGGGAGAGTGCTGCGGGTTGAGACAGGGGGTTGAGGTGTGGGAGGGGGTGAGGGCTCTGGGCTGGGAGTGCTGGCTCTGGGGTGGGGCCGGGGATGAGGGGTTCAGAGTGCAGGAGGGGGCTCTGGGCTGGGGCAGGGGTGCAGGACGGGGTGAGGGCTCTGGGCTGGGGGTTCAAGCTCTGGGCTGGGGCTCGGGATGAGGGGTTTAGGGGGCTCCAGGTCGGGGGGGGTTCATGGCTGGGGCAGGGGACTGGGGCGCAGGCTTACCTCCAGCAGCTCCCGGTCAGCGGCACAGTGGGGATGTTAAGACAGGCTGCCTGCCTGTCCTGGCACCGCGGACGGCGCTGCGTCCCGGAAGTGGCCAGCAGCAGGTCTGGCTCCTAGGGGGAGGCCCGCAGGCAGCTCTGCGTGCGGCTCTCGCCCGCAGGCTCTGCCCCCCAGCTCCCAGTGGCCAGTGCTTGGGACAGGGGCAGCACGCGGAGCCGCATGACCCCCCGCCTAGGAACCAGACCTGCTGACCGCTTCCGGGGCTCAGCACAGTGCCAGGACAGGTAGGGATGAGCCTGCCATAGCCGGGCAGCACCACTGACCGGACTTTTAACAGCCCGGTCAGTGGTGGTGACCGGAGCCGCCAGGGTCCCTTTTCGACCGGGTGTTCTGGGCAAAAACTGGACACTTGGTCACCCTACTAACAAGAACTGTACGTTTTCTCCCTCTCCTGTGGAGGGCTGGGGCTGATTCTTGCAACGAGTCTGAGCTGAAAGGACGGCTCCTGGCTTAGATCCGTCTGGTACAATAGTATAAACATCATGTACGTCCTCATGTGGGTGGCAGTTGGACTGCGTCATAAAGGCCACCCATCAGAGCTGCAGAGACCGTTTCAGGTCCCTCCCATTCTACATGAGGCCTGCACAGAGAGACAAGCCAAATGCTGGCAGCTTAGCTGTCTGCTGCTCTTGTTGATACAGGCTGACTAACTTGCTATCCCTGCTAACTCCCCAGACCCGCCTCTGCCTGAGGACAGAGCTAGAATGAATTTGACCCAGATTCCTTTCGAGAAAAAAAAAAAAAATCCAGCCCGCAGATGGGGAATGCCATGATCTTAGCCAGGGACTGAGGCTCATGACTCCTGGGTTCTATTCCCAGCTCTGCCACAGAGCCATGATCACAGCAAGAAGTCCTGGGTCAGGGCTCCGAGGTTCTATTCCCAGCTGTGCAGCCTTGCCTCCCGGGGACTCAGTTTCCCCACCTTGCATTGGCATGGTGAGGCTTACTCGGCATTTGTGAAATGCTTCAAAATCCTCTGGTAACAAACATTATAGCTCCTGTAAAGCATTTAAAGCGCCATGGAAATGCTGCTAAGTATTATTACTCAGTGTAAAGTATGAGAGGACTTTTTCAGGTGTGCAAATTCTTTATCTGCATCTGGGGCGCTGGAGAAATTGGGACTTCCTGCCTGCTGGGCACTTTGCAATATTTGAAATTACACCCAAGAACCCTGGCTTTCCCAAGGACAAAATCCATTACACTCAGAATTGTTGCTCTTTGCTTTGGGCAGACTTAACGCCGTAAGAAGAAAGCATCAAGGTTACTTTCAGTATTTGATGCAGTTCATGCTGATCATTATTCAGGTTTCAGGGAGACTGCTGGACCAAAAACAACCAAACACTATCGGACACTATTTTGGTAGGACTTACAAAAAGAAAGATTGGAAGTTTCTTTCACATTATCAGGTCGTTGATAATTCCTATTCCCTAAAACTGTCCTGGAAACAACTGCTGTGGGTGTCAACACCCAAGTAAAAGCTGGGCTGGAAAGAGGAAGGATCTAGGCAAGTCTGTTAATTTCAGCTAGCAACATCAGTTTCAGCCCTGTTCTAAATAGACACTGTGGGCTCAGATCTCATAACCTGGGGGTGCAGGTGGGATCTATTTGGCTCCGGCTGTGTGGAATGGGCATCTATGTGCCGGAGCCCCAAATCTGAGCACCCGCAGGCAGGTGACCTTTAAAGAAGAACCAAATTTGTGCATGAGAGGGACTCTGTTTCATACCCATCTCTACTACCACCATCTCCATTCTACAGATGGGGAAATGGAGAGAGGTGAACTGACTTGCCCAAGGTCACCCAGCAAATCCCATCACCAAGTCATGGATAGAAGCCAGGAGTCCCAGGCCTCTGCTCAAGCCCACTCTGCGTCCTCTGAAACCACTTTGCACTGTTGCAGCCATTGACACTCGAGTGCAGAGCTGAGTTTTGTGCAGCTGCCAACCTGAATCCCAGGGCACACAGTGTCTGCATTCCGCAGGGGGCGGGAGCAAACTCCGGGCTCACGAGATCATGGGTAAAAATATCAGGGCGGCGATGGCCAAGGCTGATGCCCAGCGCCACGAGCTGGCCTGCTTTGCACACAGTGCGGGCCGAGGAAGGCAACGAGATATTCCCTCACGCACCTTGTCTCGCTCATATTCTGGGAGCGATATGGCTACACCACCCACCCTGCAAACAACTTCCAGCAAGAGGCAGGCCTGAACCCAGCTCCAGAGGCTAG